GCCCGAGGGCACCGGGCTCTGTGTGTGCGCGCAGCGCGGCGCCGTCTGCGGCTCCGACGGCCGCTCCTACCCCAGCATCTGCGCGCTGCGCCTGCGCGTCCGGCACGCGCCCCGCCCGCACCCTGGCCACCTGCACAAGGCGCGCGATGGCCCCTGCGAATTTGGTGAGTCCGGCTTCTGCCCCGCGGTGCTGGGGCAGGAGGAGAAAGAGGGACCCCAGCCCTCTGGAATGTGGGGCAGAGGATCCCTGCATGCACCGTGATCGACAGCCTCAGTTTTCCCTTCGGAAGCAGTTTTTCTTACCTGGCCAGGTACTCAAGGAGACTGGGACAGAAATCCACATCCTCCACCTTTCCTTACCAAGCTCGTGGAGATACAAGCCCTTGAGCTGGTCAGAATTTTGGTGAGCCTACTGTCTCTTTTGGTACTTAACTACCAAAAGGCCTTCAGTTACGTGCAGGCCTGCCATGTAGGCCTCCACCAGACTGGGAGTTGGGAGTGGGGAGGTGGGGTGTCCTACTGAGTGTAAGTCCCCTGGGACCAGCAGCTGGCCAGGCCAGGTGGGGTTTTTGAATGGAGAGGGAGGGAAGGTGAAGATGCTGGAGGAGGAGGAGCTCCAGACAGGGACTCAGGAATCACTGGGCGAGAACCCCAGGGTTGGGAACCTCCTGGGATTCCCACCCAGGAGAGGGATCTCCCACCCAGGACAGGTAAGACATTTGAGGACCTAAGTTCTGAAAAGATGATGGTGCCATCAGGGCCAGACCTGGGTTTTGCGGGTCTAAGGCTCATATGATTCAGCAGGTAAAGGAATGGAAATGTATTCATTGCTCGGTACCTAGAAACTTAAGGTTCATGAACATCCCAGGAACGTCATGTTTGGATGCCATGTTTGCCCACCTCTTTGTGTAATTTTTAAAACTCAAACAAAAACAAACCAAAAACATTGGTAGGGGATGGCCAGCGGAGCACCCTGATGGCCCATTAGGTTTTGGAGAGCTGCCCCCATCCACACTGCCTGGAGGGAGCAGGGGAGAGTTGAGGGTGAGTGAGCTTGTGGCCAGCAAGTTCCAAGGACCTGGCTTGGGGTTCTAGCCTAGGCCTGGAGACCCAAGTCTAGAGCTAAATGCCTACATCGGTGTAATGAATTTAGCTCCAACAGGGAAGCCTTGGGTGTGGGACAACCTTTTCCAGGCCTTGGGTAATTTCTCGTATTATTTCCCCCCAAGCATTCCACGTACGTGCAGCAGACCCAGCGGGTTGTTGGGGATGGGGCAGGAAGGCTCCTGTCCCGGGCAACACGAAACCAATGTGCTGCCTATTGAGGGGGCTGAAGCAGCCCCAGAGCATGGGAAGGTCACCGTTGGCTATTCCTGGCTGGGGCTTCCAATGGAGGAAAGAGCTGGTGGGTGCTTCCCAAGCTGCTACTGGTCCCCTGAGTGACCTTGGGCAGGTCCCTGCCCTTCTCTGGGCCCCATCAGCCCTGTGGAGCCACAGTTGAGGTCCCTTCCATTTTGAACTTTTGTTTCTGCCCTGTGGCATTTCAACAGTCCTGCCTCCTTCTTTCTGGTTCCTATCACTCCTTTTTACAATCTGCTTTCTTTAGCAGTTAATTCACAGGCAGTTCTCTTTGTCTCCAGACAAGTCACACTTACACTCCACACGCTGGAGACGCCAAGAAATGCTGACCAAGTCCCCAGAATCTAACCGGTGTGGATAGTCTCAGATGATTTCTCCCTGGAGTGATATTCTGTTCCTAAGACCGAGCCACCTTGAAGACACATGGACTAAATCTGCCATTGTGCAGAGGAGACTGAGACCCAGGGGGGCAGGGGACACAGGCAGGGTGATCAGTAAAGCCTGACCAGCACCCAGGACCCCGACGCCCTCTGTAGTGCTCTTTCAGGACAGGACTTGAGAGTGTTAAGTCAGGCAGGTGGTGGTTGCCATGGTTACCAGAGTGCGGCCAGATGGCAGATGGCAACCCCATACCCCTAATTCATTGAAAATTACCAAATGACAAGTAAACGTGACAGCCCCTCCACTCTGATCTATGGGCTCTGAGGCCCACCCCAGGCACAGGCCCCACGAGTAAAGTTGTTCAAGGGGCCAAAAGGAAGGAAAGTCAGAAACTGCTTTTAATGATCCTGTTAGTGACAGGCAGCAGGCCTCCCTACGATTTAGCTCTCCTTCCCCACCCACAATTGTGTCATCTGCAGCAGCCCTGGGCACTGTGGTCCCGTCTTTGTGTCCTGAAATGTTTGGGTGGCCCCTGCGCTGGTGTCCTGGTGAAGCACGGAGGTGTGGACAGGGGCATCTTTCCTAGCCCAGGTGGCACCTCATTCTGTGCTGCCCCAAAGCCATCCTTTATTTAGAGGATGAAGCAGGGGTACTTTTTAACAATGCCCCCAGGGACCCTGGTGGGAGGGAAACGGCTGAGTCCTAGCAGCAGCTGTTCTGCTTCAATATTGTTAATAAAATCACCCCTCGCCGACTCTCACCTACCCTTAAGTAAGCGAGCACCTGACTTAGACTGAATGAGACCTCCGTAAATATCAGGTTCCACACAGGGTGGGAAGTGTTCTCTGCAACCATTTTCAGGCTTAAATTCTGACCTTTTCCTATGCTCTGAAATTCCCCCCAAATGCCTAATAATGAGGGCAATCCTTTGATTAACACATTGAATGAAGACTCGCCCTGTTTCCACGTATGAATCATTCTTTACTGTTGGAAATCGCCCTTGCATCCCATCTTCTTACTCAATTTTCACAACTACCCTGGCCAGATCTCACTCCGATTTAACAGAAGGGAAAACTGAGGCACACAGAAGGGAATTCCCTGGAGCTGCGTGCCTAGCTCCTAGCTGAGGTGGGGCCCCAGCCTGGGTTTGCCTGGCCCTTTTTAGACAGAGCCATGCACCTCTAGCCCGATGGCCACCTGATTAGGAAGAGGCTGCAAACTGGCCAGCCTTGAATCCTGAGGGTTTCTCCGTCCAGATCCACCTTCCTGTTTTCCCCCCAAGGCTTGTTGCTGGCCCCCCTGCTTGGCACTGGGGGACAGCTCCTGAGAGGAATGGGGATGGCTTCACAGAAGGGAAAATATCTGAGCGGAACCTTTAAGGACTTGTAGAAAATTCTTGGGGAGAAAGGGGGATGGGGAGGTAAGAGCAGGTAGGGGAGATCCTGGGGTGGGTGTGACCCCGGGCTGCTGGGCAGCTCCCCAGGGGGATGGTTGGGGCAGGGCCGTGGCCAGCCTCGAGCGCCAGGCTGAGAGATGCAGCTTCGCTCGGTACTAAGTTATTGGTTTCTTTTCTTTGCTGTAAGGTGGCATGGCGTTCTTGTTGCTGCTTTCATTATTTTAAAAGGCTGTGTTCCGTGCGTGCCCCCTGACCGGTGGCTAACGTGGGGAGGGGGCTGGGATCCTGCAGGCAGCAGGTTGAGAGCATGTTTTGAATGCTAGATTAGGTAGGAACAGGGTCCCGGGCCCCCGCAAAGCTTCAGTGAGCTCTTGAGATCCTGAATCTTAGAAAATTCACCTCCCTCCATTGACATTCCAGCTCCACTGCAGTCTGTGCGAGGCGCGTGTTACCAGGTAACCAGGAGAGGCTGCAAGCGCCACTTTGTGAGAGGGACAAAGAAGGGGGGGGGCCTCGTGCTCAAAAGCCTTTCATGCCGAGGGAGGGGCTGTGAGGCACGGGCTGCAGGGAGCCGGATTAAGCTGTTTCTCCTTCCACATCGGAACATGTCTATTAGCATAAATTATCAGGGCTGCTCAATGCGTTGGTGATTAAACTCTTTGGTTGTGCACTTCTTTGTATAAGCAGATGGGGTCCTGGGGGATGACTTTTGATATTCTTTCTTTCCTGGGTACATTAACTTGAAAGAAACCTCAGAGGCATTTGGGAAGATCTTTCATTCTGGGCGTCAAGGACATATCTAGTTGACGGTGTGTTTTGGGGGGGGGTGTTGGGGACAGATCACCGCACACTATAATAATGCTGCCGGCCCCTCCCACTCGTACAGACCCGCACGGTCAGTAATTCAGTCACATTCATCCTCAGCAGTCACTGTCTTCATTTGCAGACCAGGAGGAAATGGTTAACGGCTTACCCAGGCTCCCGTGGTTGGCACCAGGACCCCAGCGCTACCTCTGTGGGTGCACATGTGGGTGACGGTTCTGTTACCTGCTGGGTGGATCAGTGCCCTCCCAACTTTTCTCGAGCTGTTGCTGGCATGGACAGAAGGAAGCAAAGTATTTAGCAAGGAAGAGCTAGAGAGACCACAGACTGGGCCCACCAGGCACCATCCTCCCTCTTGAAATCCACCTTGCTCTTGTCACACGCAGGTAGAAAAGAAAGTGTGGCAGTTCGGGCAGTAGTGAGGCGAGAGGCTGTGCCCGGACTCGCCAGAATGAGGGCTGCGGGCGTGGCCTCTGGAGCCTCCGGGCAGGGCCCACCCGGAGGCCTGCTCCCCGGAGGCCTGCTCCCCGGAGGCCAGTAGGGGCTCTGGGGAGCAGGCCGGGCACTTCCAGGAGATTCCCCGTGGGGTAGCACAGCCTGCCAGGTCCTCGGGTCTCTCTGTGGGAGAGAGAGTTTGACTCAGCTGTGATTTTTTAGTTTGCAAGGGGTCTTGCTCTGTTTTACAGTTTGCAAGGGTCTGTAAACCCCTTGCAAACTGTAAAACTGGAAGAGCTGTTTGACTCACAGCTGTGATTTATTACAGTGACAGGAGACAAAGCAAACAGCAAAGGGAAAAGCGGCTCATGGGGTAAAGACAGGGAAAACCAGGCGCGAACTTCCACGCGCCTCTCCCAGCGGATCACACGGGACACCCTGAATCCCCCAGCAGTGCCTGGTGACAACACGTGTGAGTGTTGCAAGGGGTCTTGTAGCTCTTCCTCCCAATAGCCTATGGAGAGGGGAGGGGAGAGGAGGGGCGAGGAAAAAGAACAGATGCCCGTGCCCATTTTAAAGAAGAAGAAACTGAGACCGCGTCACAGCATTGGTGTGGCAGAGACAGGATTTGAACCTGGGTCCGTCCTGCCCATGGTAGTCATGACGTTGAGTACCCCAGCACCACATTCAAATGAGCCCTTGGGGACAGTAGGATTGGGAATGTCCTGCAAGTATAAACAATGTATCACCCATTTAATAGTGTCTTCAGGAGAACTGCTCCTTGGGGGGTGACGTTTGGAGGGTTTTTCCTGTGTAGAAGAGTAAACAGAGCAGGCCTGAGACTCTGTCCTTAGGAGGGCCTGCTGGCCAGATTGACCCTTGGCTGGCGCCTGGGAACTTGGATTTGGGGACAGTTCCCACCGTCCCCTCAGTGATAAGAGCGACTCTTGGCCTGAGCTGTTTGGGCCAACACCACGGTTTATGCTGCAAGCCTGCTTTCCTTCCGGGGCCCTGGAATTTTGGTACGTGCTGAGCAGAGGGGGCCCAGGTGACCTGCCCCCAACAAAAATCCCGGGCTCGAAGTCTCCAGTGAGCCTCCCTCGGATGGGATTCAGGGTGTCCCGTGTGATCCGCTGGGAGAGGCGCGTGGAAGTTCGCGCCTGGTTTTCCCTGTCTTTACCCCATGAGCCGCTTTTCCCTTTGCTGTTTGCTTTGTCTCCTGTCACTGTAATAAATCATAGCTGTGAGTCAAACTGCTGAGGCCTATGAGTCCTCCTAGCAAATCACTGAACCTGGGGATTGTCTTGGGACTCCCCAACACAGTCCCTAAAGAACTCTTTCTTGTTCTGGAATGGAGTCCATACAGACAACAAATATTTCACTTTAAAACTCAGTGAAGTGTTGATGGAATCAGGGTCCCTGGGTTTGACTCCCTGCTCCTCCAGGCACTTCACCTTTCCGAGCCTTGGTTTTCTCGTCTGTAAAATGGGGATAAAAGCACCTGCTTAGCAGGGTAGGTATAAGGACGAAAGGAGCAGTGTACATGTAATTGTCATCTAAGTAGAAAGCAAGACTCTTTGGGACAAACAAAGCTCAGAGCCAGAGCCTGGGCTCAAAGCCTTGCCCAACCATCTAAACCCGAGTAACCCTGCCTAGCTGCACCGCTGGTGAAATTGCTGGAAAGATGGAATGGGTTAATCCCTGTGAGCAGACTAGAGCGCCTAGCACACAGCGAGCTCTCAGAATTAGGTGGTGGCATTTATTACCATTATTACCATGATGATGATGATGGCTGATTATGAAGAGCTATTATGGATAAAAATATTTTAAATTTAAAAGCGGATATGTTAACATTAAAACCAGATTACTCTGACAAAGAGAAGCATGAAGAAATTTTTTGAGATGAACTGGACTCTTCTAGATCTTGCTTGTGGCAGTGGTTACATGACCGTAGGCGTTTGTCAAAACTCAAGAGCTGCACTCCACAAGGAGTAAATGTGCTGTATGTCAATTTTAAAATAAATAAAAATTTGAATGTTACTTTGTCATCGAAAGCTGGGGGCTCTTTTGTCAAAGAAGTAATATTTTCTGCCACAAGATCAGTAGCAAAGACAGCATTTCCAAGACAGTCTTTAAAAGAGGGAGAGGGAAATTCTAGGAGAGAGAATGTTGAAATGTGATTTACTGGTTTATTCATTTAGGCCTGAAAGGGATTGATGAAATCTCATTTAAAATTTATGACTTTACATGAATGAAAGTAAAACATGTTGATCGAGTGTCCCTCTGGAATCCATTGAGGGCTTTGGAATAAGATACGGTTCTGATTGTTCCCCCAGCGAGCCATTTGAGGACTATTGGGCCCCGGGGGAGTGGATGTTGGCGGGAGGGTGTGGATAAATTAGACTCTTTGTCATGTTGCAGATGGGGCCCCTGCTGGAGAGCAGGGGTGTTGTGGTTCTTTGTGGCAGTTTGCAGGTGGTGGGGATGCTTTGGGCAATGTTAGAAGCCTTAGGACCTTGGTTCAGTAGAGGGCTTTGGCTACACTCAGTGTTGTGGGTATGTGGAGCCATGTGCTTGGGGGGCAGTCAAATGGGCACAACTGAAGGAGTGGGCTGATCAGGCTGAGGGGGAAGAGAGCAGCCTGGGGGTAGGGAGCATAGTGTCTGTATTCAGTGGAGGCCAATGGGGCACCCAGGGGGCCGTAGGGCTCCAGTGAGGTGGCCCTGGGATCAACATGTGGGGGTTACAGGGAGGTAGGTTTTAGCTCCAGATGAAGGAAGACAAGCTTCCTTACTAGCAGAGCTCTCCTAGGATGGAAAGGCCTGGCTCTGTAGGTAGTAAGCTCTCTGTCAGTGGAGGCATGCAAGTGGATGCTAGCTGAACACATCAGATGGTCAGGCACAGGATCTTGGGGAGTTGGGCCCCTCCGGTTTGAGACTCTGTGGTTCTAAGACAATTTTCCAGAGATCTTTTTTTGCACCAGCTTGACAAGGTCTGTCTGGAGGGGCCAGACCAGTCTTATTTCTGTGCCCTTTCACTCCTGTCCCTATCCCTCCTCCTGCAGCCTTCTCCCTCCCTCCCTTTGCTCTCTTTTTTTTTATTGCAGCTGGACCGAGGCAGGCAAAGGCCCCTTCCCTCTCCAGGGCCATCCATGAGTCACACGGCAAAGTCCCAAGAGCGTAGACCCTGCAGTTTGATGGCTGGAGAAGGAATGTGTTTGCTCCTTATTTGCCATGTGTTTCTTCATCTAGTCATCTGTTTAGCAGACATGCTTCTGGGGCCCACTTACATGTCCTGTTAACTTAAACCATTGCGCTCACACTCATCACATGGTAAGATCAGCTCAACAGCCCAGCGAGCAGGGGTTATTATCCCCATCTTACAGATGAGCAAACCCAAGCAGGGAGGATCCCCCTGCCCCGAGGCCTCCCCACTGCATCTTGTCCAAGACACTGCTGGACTAGATGCAGGGACGGGCCCTGCTGCCGTCTGGTCCAGCGGAGGCCGGCGGGCACACCCGGACTGCCAGCAAGCTGTCCCCCAGCAGCTCACACGGGCGCAGACGCCCTGGTGCTGGACTAGGACACATACCCTAACCCTCCAGGTCCTGCAGGAGGAGGAGCATCCCCTGTGGGGTTGGGGGGGGTGCCTTCCATGCGGTGCAGGCAGGTCCACTGAGGGACAGGGTGGAGGGCCTGAACGCCGAGGTGGCCGGACTTGATTCTTGGAGCGCCAGCGTGAGCAGAGCAAGTGGGGGGCACCGGGAGGAGGGCGGTGTGGGGTGTCAGCTAAGCACTTCTAACTCAGATGCCTGCAAGGTCGCCGTCCCAGCCAGCCCACACCCTCCCTCGCCTTTCTGTAATGTGCTGGCAGCCTCGAGCTGCCCTGCCTGGGGAGGGCCATCCCGGAAGCGACCCCTCTCTCCGGTGTCCTCGGACCCAGTGCCGGCTTGGGGGGGGCGGTGGAGGGGAGGCCGCGTGGAGCCTGCAGGTCTGCGATATGCAAACGAGCGTCTGGCCCGGCCGCGGAGGGGGGCGTCTGGGCGGTGCGCCGGCAGCTGTTCTGCGGGGCCTGTTCTTTGAACCGCCCCGCGTGCGAGGAGGAAAGCCCATCTGTTCGAAGACTTGGCGTTGGTGAGGTGACACCAGCCCCTCCTGAGCCACTCCGTGTCTCGAGGAGCTGAGCTGCAGGCAGATGGCCCCCAGGGTCCTGGGCAGGAGTGTGACGAGACCCAGGCTCTGCCACAGACGTGGCGGACGGTTCAGGAAGCCGCCTCGCCCCTCCAGATCCCAGTTTTCCTGTTGGTAGAACAAAGGCGATGGATGAGGAAGCGTGGAGGCATCCCTCCGGGTCTGAGGGAAACATGATTCGCCGCCTCCGAGTGTGCTCTTTGTGCGTGGAGAGCTTTCCTCTGCTGCGGCCCCCCTCACGGGGGACCGTGCCCGCAGGCTCTCTGCAGGCCGGGGATTTTAGACGTGGGGTGCTTGGGACCTGGCAGGGTAATGGTTGTGACCCCCTGTCTTCCTCCTCCAGCTCCTCTGGTCGTCACGCCACCCCGGAGTGTTCACAACGTCCCCGGGACCCAGGTGAACCTGTCCTGTGAGGTGAGGGCTGTGCCCACCCCTGTCGTCACGTGGAGGAAGGTATTTACGTCCAAGAATTCCGTGTGCGTGCGTGTGTGAGAGAGAGAGAGGTGTTTCTTGTGTGTTTATGTGTGTGTTATATGTGGTGCAAAGGGTTTTAAAAAGAGATCTTACAAGTCACTCTTTTTCCTTCAGGTTTATGCCTCAAAACTTTTACCCCAAAGCTCTGCCCAGAGCAGGGGAGTCACCATCCTTCCTTGTGCCATTTGCTCCCTCAGCCACTTAGCTGTCCAGAAAGGTCATCTATTTAAAGATTTTATTTATTTATTTGACAGGGAGAGAGACAGCTAGAGAGGGAACACAAGCAGGGGGAGTGGGAGAGGGAGAAGCAGGCTTCCTGCGGAGCAGGGAGCCCGATGCGGGGCTCGATCCCAGGAGCCTGGGATCATGACCTGAGCCGAAGGCAGACGCTGAATGACTGAGCCACCCAGGCGCCCCGAAAGTCCATCTATTTATCTAGCCTGGATCCACTGGAACGAAGTCAGAGCCTACTTCACGGGATCTGGGTTTTAGAAAGACTATCCAAATCCCATTCCAAAATTAGATCTTCCTGCAGATCAATTTTTGAGAGACTGGCGTGGATCACAGCATATGTTGTCCACCTATGTCCGCAGCCCCCAGAAGGGCGGGGAAACTCTGAACCGCCTCTGAGATGGTGGTGGTGTCTACATCATTACTGTCCAGCAGGGGGTGCTGTCTGCACAGACATTTAGGTTTATGAAGCCACTGACGTTTTAATAGGAATAAGAGGTGCCAGGGCTTGGCCTTTGAGTCAGTAGGAAGATAAAGACAGCAAGGATGTCTGCGGTGTGGTTCTTACCCAGAGATGCTTTTTCTAAACCACTCCTGGTTGTTCTGTCCTCTGTAGGTCACACAGTCTCCTGAGGGTACCCAGGTGCTGGAGGACCTGCCTGGGGACCACGTCAATATCGCTGTCCAGGTGCAAGGGGGCCCTTCTGACCACGAGGCCACAGCCTGGGTTTTGGTGGGTATCTCATTTGTTTAGGATTAGTGGCTGTTATTGACTGGCCGTTACAAAGCACCCTTTATATTTCTATAGCACATTACCCATTTCAAAGCTGTTCTTATCCCTTTTTGGTTGGACCCTACACTAACTGTGAGGGAAGTTTAACCCCCGAGAGCATAAGTGATCCTCAGTGGTGGTCAGAATTATGGCCCCAGAAAGATGTCCATGTCCTAATCCCTGGAATCTGTGGATATGTTATATGCGAGAGGGGATTAAGGTTGCAGATGGAGCTAAGGGTGCTCATCAGCTGACTTTAATAAGGAACTTATCTTGGATTATCTGGGTGGGCCCAGTATAATCACAAGAGCCCTTTAAATGCTGAAGAGGGAGGGATGGGGTGGCTGGGTGATAGACATTGGGGAGGGTATGTGCTATGGTGAGCGCTGTGAATTGTGCAAGACTGTTGAATCACAGATCTGTAC